GTCATGTTGGAAGCCATTGAAACACAGCTTTAGACCTTGAGGCAAAGAATGCCCTGGGTGACACTTTATCGAACTGTGATACACCATATACTGATTTTAAATCTAATATTAGAGAATATGGTTTTGGAGTAAGAGAGATTGTAATAAAGTACATGAAATTAAACCTAATTTAGGAAGACCTTTTTCAAAATATTATGTGCAGAAAAGATCAATGTGTTATTTCTAGATGCCGAATTGGTCATAATAGAGTGACATACGAGTATTTTTTAAAAAACGATGACGAACCACAATTTGTAGCTTGCAACTGCAAGTATACTATTAAACATGTTCAATTAATTGTATTGACTTTGCTGATATTCGTAAGAAGCATTTCAATGCCAATAATATGTATGATTTATTTAATAATTTTCCATTTACAAATATTGTTTCATTCTTAAAAGAAATTGGAATATAATATAATACAAAGGGCCAAGTCAGCTTTTCTTATCACTTAGCGTCCGTCGTCCGTAAACTTTTACAAAAATCTTCTCTGAAACTACTGCGCCAAAGGAGTAGGTTCAGTAAGACCTCTTTTGTGGCCCCAAAATATAGCAGTTTTACAGAATTGTTAAAATGTAAACTGTTAGTTATTTATTGGAAAGTAGAATGCTTCTGCCACTTAAATATGGGCTGTTGTTGACAATACAATGCACATATATCGGGTACTACCATCATTAACTCATGCTTAATTACTGAAATCTTCACAATTTAAGCATTTTAGTTAAATTTTAGACGGTTTCCGTCTTAAATGAAAGTGGCCGCATTTGTGTTCATTGTTAATATTGAAATGTAAGTTGTATTTGACGATAATACATAATATATATAAAGGTTGAGGATGAACACGGATGCGGCCACTTTCATTTTTGACTAAAAACATCTGAAAAGTGACATTTTTTGGCATATTAGATAGATTTTTCATATCTAAGCTCGGATCGGAGCGTTTTTAATGACTAAATCAGTAAAAATCTTTCACATAAACCAATTGAATCAACTCAAATAGACACTTAAGTGTTTAAAAAGTGTCCAAAATCTTTCGTCAGATAAACTTGAAATTTGAGGCCATAATATGCCCTTACCGGACCTAAAATACTACAATAGGGAACAATGTGACAATGATTGAATTTAGTAGTGTCAACCCTGTGATTATGACCCGTGTATATAGCAAAATCCTATATACACCGTTTGGTGTTTCGCCTGTCAGATGCGGAACGTACAGATAAGGTAATAGGTAACAGGTGAATATACTATCGGTACCGGTATCGGATTCGACCCGGAACTTGTTAATTATTGGCAATATTAATTATGTGGAAAACAAAAGGGTCTGGAGTGGTGTAATTTTTAATCAACACCATTGTCATATATTAGCTATATATAAAGTTGAATTCTTTGATTTGTCGTTTTTACCCCATGACGGCTGATAAATTAGACTTCGTTATTTTAGTATTATAGATAATACCTATTTAAAAAATAAAAATGGGTCACAGGACTTTTTTCAATTTTGTCAGTGTAGCTCCAGCTAAAAACTTTGAGAACTTAAAACAAATATTAACAGGCAATACCATGAGCAATAAACAACCTTAAAGATAAAAAAGAAGAGCAACGGTAAGATGCAAACAGACATGTTCAAGGATACCAGTCTTAATTTGACAAATTTGCTAAAGCAGTATAATCGTGAAGCGCATTAACATACAATGTTCAAGAAAAGATTTTGAAATTTTGTAACTAATTTGATTGATTGATTGTTGTTTGCTTTACGCCGCATTAGCACAGAAAGGCTATATCGCGGCGAGAGCTAATTCGAATATTATAACAATTTAAGGTATATTTTTAAAATCAGACAAAAGGTCTTTCAATAAACTAAAATTCTAGACTAAAGCAAATTGATTATTTACAAATAAAAATCATCACTAAGATAACGTGATAAAAATTAAAATCGTTTTAAATATAACAACATTTTTATATTTTATAATATATTCCAATTTCTTTTAAGAATGAAACAATATTTGTAAATGGAACATTACTAAATAAATCATACATATTATTGACATTGAAATGCTTCTTCCGAATATCAGCAAAGTCAATACAATGAATTAAAACATGTTTAATAGTATACTTGCAGTTGCAAGGTACACATTGTGGTTCATCTTCATTTTTTAAAAGATACTCGTGTGTCACTCTAGTATGACCAATTCGGCATCTAGAAATAACACACTGATCTTTTCTGCGCATTAAATTATTAAAAGGTTTACCTAAATTAGGTTTAATTTCATGTAATTTGTTACCATCTCTCTTACTCCATTCATTTTTCAAAATATTAAAAACATATTCTCTAATATTAGATTTAAAATCGGTATATGGTATATCACAGTTAGATAAAGTGTCACCCAGGGCATTCTTTGCCTCAAGGTCTAGAGCTGTGTTTCCATGGATTCCAACATGACTCGGCACCCATAGAAATATTATTTCTTTAAGAAGAATTTTTAAATTCCTCATTACATATAAAATTTTGAGAATTGTTGGGTTTTTAATTTTAGTATTTTGTATAGGTTGTAAGCATGAAAGTGAATCAGAACATATAATACATTTGGATTTATCTGAAGAAGCAATAAATTACAAAGCCAAAATTATTGCTTCTACTTCAGCAGTAAAGATGGATGCAGCAGATGGCAAACGGAGAGTTGCAGCTCTGTCCCTGAAGACAGCAGCAGATGCAACTCTGTCACCATCTTTTGATCCATCAGTATAGACAGTTGAAAAATCTGAATAATTGGCTTTAATTTCAGCATAGTGTTGCTGAATTAAAAGAGGATTTGTTTCATTTTTATTGTGTTTACGGAGATCAAATATCATTTTTGGTTTGGGAAGTTCCCATGGAGGACATTTGCAAGTTTCAACTTGAGCAACAGATTTTAAATCAAAAGTAGCTAAATGTGGGTTTAAACGTATACCTAACGGAGGAATTTTGTTTTCATGTTTTGCAAAAATATCTTCATAAATTGGATTAAAAACACAGCTGTAGGCAGGATTATCTGAATAGGCTTTTAGTTTGGCAGCATATTGAAGTCCAAGCTTCAAACGTCTGTCAAAAAGTGAATGCTCATCAGCCTCTACATACAGACTCTCAACTGGTGAGGTTTTAAAGGCGCCAAGACAGAGACGCAAACCCTGGTGATGCACAGCATCGATAATCTGTATGTAGGATTTCCGTGCAGAGCCATACACTATAGAGCCATAATCTAGTTTGGATCTAACTAGAGATCTATATAAATAAAGTAAAATGTTGCAATCAGCACCCCAGTCGGTGCTGCCGACAATTATTTAAAATATCTATGCTTTTAAACATCTTGATTTTAACATTTTGATATGGGGTAGAAAGGTTAATTTTTTATCAAAAACTAACCCTAGAAATTGATTTCCATCAACCATTTTAATTGGGTTTCCATATAAAGTGAGTTCTGGATCAAGATGCAATTTCCTTTTGTTACAAAAATGCATCCCGACCGTTTTTGAAGTAGAAAATTTAAAACCATTTTCCGAGGCCCATTTTTCAATTCTTCCAAGACATAATTTTAATTGTCTTTCTATGTTATTCATATTTGTGCCTCTGTAACATATTAGAAAATCATCAACGTACAATGGACCTTCAATATTACTTTTTAAAACTTCAACAAGGCTGTTGATTTTAAGACTAAGTAATGTAACTGATAAAATACTCCCCTGAGGGACACCCATCTCTTGATCATATCCATCAAGCGAAATAGAAAGCGTACCACTTGATTGGCCAATGAGCCATCGCCTTCTTTAGTTCTCCGAAATATAAATAGCTTAATTTAAAACACATGTGTATATAATGAAAATTGTTACAAGGAAGCTTATTGTTGAGGATTAACTGAAGGGCTCGACATGACCAGCCGATTGATCGAACCGGGTCCATCCGATCTCCCGTTTAGATGATATTGGAGCCAAAGCAGCTTATTGAACTATAGTCTCGTCCGTCCGGGTATTTTCTGACCGTAAGGAGTCTGGCTACAGCCCTGATCCGCAAGGATCTCGTCAACCACCGACACGGGTAGCAACCCACGGCCAACGGGTTGGAGAGCCTATTTTATTCAAAACATCGGGCAACTCGTACGATGTTCGGATCACTTTAGTCTGGTCTCTACCCTTCGACCTGTCCAGCATGGGTAACCCTACTAGGAGACGAAGCTCCAACTGGCATAGCTCTTGGGGTCACTGAGACACGCAAGCCCCCGACCACGGCAAGGATAGCGATCCACCGGGGGGTAACTAATTTGTATTGAAATATTACATATAAATGATATCAATAGTATTTTGATAAAATTCTTTTAAAATCTTATGTGGATAAAATCTTTAAACCTAGGTTGTTGTTTGTTGTTAGCATCCTAGTATGTGTTTTGTATATTGATTTGCACAAATCAGGCAGTTAGTTTTCATGTTTGAATTGTTTAACACTTTTAGTTATGAGGCATTTTATAGCTATGCTTTTGCTCAGTGTTGAAGGCCATGCAGAGATATCTACTTGCTATCTTTAATCTTTGCTCTCATTGGCAATCATATCACATCTTCTTATTAAAGATGTTTTATTTTACCCGAAAGTTAAACATGAGTCTCCTTTTAGTTTTGATTATATCACTTTTTGTAAGTGAAAAATTACAAGATCCAAACAGTTTTATTCAATAAAAAAATCTAACTTTTTTTTTTTTTTTAACATTCTTAAATTCTTTATTGCACTCTGCTGTTTTAACAAAATACTTGATGTACAGCATTCCATCAAGTATCCCTGTTACACACAATTATTATTGAATATCCAGGGAGAATATACAGTAAAACTTATTTTATTTTATACATAGTCATTTTAATACAATTCTATTTTTCTATAATTCATAATATCATATAAAATCTTATCGAGGTAAAGATGTTACAGACGCTGTGTCGTGATATTTACGGAGAAAAATCCGTTATCGATTCTTTTAATCAAATTTTGAAACATGTGAAGTATGTGAATGAGAGACAGCGTGGTAACTGTTTCTGATACTTTTTGTTATTTTATACCTGTGGATTTATACAAGTTTTTGGAAGTGTTGGATAATAATAAAGAATGGTAAGTTACATTTGATACTGTTTGTTTCTTATAAGCTCTTGTCATGAAAATTTTATTTACAAATTTGACCCCAATTTAACTACCCATGACCTTTATATTTGTAAACATTACAATTGTACTTACTATACTTGTATATATGTTCTTATAGTTTCACATAAAAAAGAAAACAACTATGTCAATTGGACATGCTTTGATACTATATATGCCCTTGAAATTTTACTAAATAACATTTTTGTTCGCTTTGGAGATTCCTTATATCGTCAGGTTATCGGAATTCCAATGGGGACTAACTGTGCACCACTTATTGCGGACCTTTTTTTGTATTGCTATGAGTTACAATTTATGACAAAAATCAGCAAAGACCCATCGAAACAACATCTGATACACAAATTTAATAATACTTTTAGATATTTGGATGATATTTTGGCTCTCAATAATGACGACTTCAGTATGTATACTAAAGAAATTTATCCTGTTGAACTTACTTTAAATAAAGCTAATACTAACAATGACCACTGCCCTTTCCTCGATCTTGATATCTATATCATTAATGGAAAGCTTAATACTAAAATATATGATAAAAGAGATGATTTTTCATTTCCCATCGTTAATTATCCATTTTTAGATGGTGACGTTCCCTTGTCACCATCTTACGGTGTTTATATATCTCAACTTGTACGATTCGCTCGTGTATGTAACAATGTTTTAGATTTTAACGAGAGAAATTTATGTATTACTGAAAAATTATTACACCAGGGTTTTCGATATCACAAACTAGTCAAAACATTTACTAAATTTTATCATCGGTATAAGGACATCATTCGTAAATATAGCTCAACATGCAGACTTCTTATACGTTCAGGTATTTCACATCCAATTTTTTATGGAAATATTCTTTATAAAGCACAAACATGTCAGTATTCACCTCTGAAGATAACAAAACCTTTAAATAGACTTATTAAGAAGGGATATAGTTACGATACTGTTGTCAGGTCATTAAAGATTGCATATTTTGGCGTTAATATTGATTCACTTATAGGGTCTTTGCATCGGCACTAAACACATTTATTTAAAAAAAAAACAATTGTTGGCATGACACGGGTTATGTTCTTCTCATATATGTTATGATGGTATGATACTAAACCCCTAACGGGAAGGATTGTGCCTGATATTCATATGATGAAGGCATAATCTTTCAATCAGTTTAATTGAAGTCTGGAGCTGGCATGTCAGTTAACTGCTAGTAGTCTGTTGTTATTTATGTATTATTGTCATTTTGTTTATTTTCTTTGGTTACATCTTCTGACATCAGACTCGGACTTCTCTTGAACTGAATTTCAATGTGCGTATTGTTATGCGTTTACTTTTCTACATTGGCTAGAGGTATAGGGGGAGGGTTGAGATCTCATAAACATGTTTAACCCCGCCGCATTTTTGCGCCTGTCCCAAGTCAGGAGCCTCTAGCCTTTGTTAGTCTTGTATTATTTTTAATTTTAGTTTCTTGTGTACAATTTGGAGTTTAGTATGGCGTTCATTATCACTGAACTAGTATATATATTTGTTTAGGGGCCAGCTGAAGGACGCCTCCGGGTGCGGGAATTTCTCGCTGCATTGAAGACCTGTTGGTGACCTTCTGCTGTTGTCTGTTCTATGGTCGGGTTGTTGTCTCTTTGACACATTCCCCATTTCCATTCTCAATTTTATTAGACATATGAAAGTTAATACCATTGTACAAAAGCTTTGTTGACTTCTATAAACATGAACAGATAAGATAGGATACATGATGTACATTATATAAAATAATATTTCTTTTTTCTACAATACATTTATCCCTCCCCCCTTTTTCTTGCCAATCTAATTTTATGCTTCACTTACATACATACATAACTTACCTACCTACATGCATGCATACACACATACATATGCATTAATTCATACATTCATACACATGCTTACATACATACATGTACACACATATAAAGACATTTACAGATACATGCATTTGCATACATAAACACATATACATACATTATAGTAGCATACATGCTTACTGATACACTTGAAACATTGAAAACAAATACACAATATTAACATATTAATACATGCATTCTGCTTTTCAAGAAACTGTTTTTTCCAAAAGTTAATTTTATTTATTTTAAGATCTGTAACACCTTTTTTAACATTCTGTTTATTTCTATATTGGCCGTACAATATAATTCAACTGTACTATTGATATTTAAAATTTTTCAATAGGTCTATTTTTTTGGCCTTATTATTGGATTTATAATGTGATTTATAGACTGAGAAAAACATTAAACTCAGCAAGTGATTAAGTCCAAAATAAGCATCATCATGAATCTTGTATCCTATTACTAGAGAGTGTAGGCTTATTACATGTTTGTCAATACCTAGTTTGTGAAATATATATCTCATTGATTTCCAGAAGGTTGTGTTATATGAGCATGTGATGAAAAAATTATTGTAGTTATCTTGTTCATTACAATATGAACAAAGGCTGTTTTCAGAAATTTTCCATTGAAATAACAGCTCTTTATTTTGCAAGATAAAGTGCATTAATTTCCAACTGAACATCTTAATTTTATTATCTTTTAGATATTCAAAAGTGAATTTTATAGTGTCTTTGAGTTCACTATTTATATTTCCTGTATGTAATACCCTTTCCCATTTTAAAAATCCAATAGGTGTTTCTGTTTTTATTCGACTTTGCACTATCTTATAAATATCTTTATAATTAATGCCCTGTATATCCTCATTGTCTCTTAGTCTATTTTTTTCTCTGTTTATATTAACTATAGTTTTGAATGATCTCTCACTTTTAAGCTTCTCCTCCCAGTGATTTGGTATGGCTTTTTTAAGTTTTGAAAATTCAGCAATCCAATTGCTTTTGTTTTTTAGTTTTAAATTGATTACATCTTCTGATATTTGCCCTCTGTTATCAGTTATGTCGTTTATAAATAAAATGTCACTTTCAATCCATTTGTCAAAAAACAGACATTGTCTTTTAAATTTTATCAAACTATTGCCCCATATTATTTGCTTTCTGATCTCTAAAAAGTTACATATTTGATTATTTTAAGCATCATTCAAATTTATCCATGATTTTATCAGTTCTTGATAGAATATCGGTGTATTGTTCCATATTTTTTTATCGAGTAATTTTATGTTTCTTATATTTATCTTGAAAATTAACATTTTTTGCCAAACTTATTCAGGTATAATTTAGGCAACACAGACCAGTTAGCATTTTCTGATTGTATTATTTTTGTAATCCATTTTATATGTATTGACATTATATAAGACTCCAGATCAATCATTTTTAAGCCCCCTTCAGCAAAATTTTTTGTTAATATTGACCTCTTTATTTTATCGTTTCTTCCATTCCAAACGAATCTATAAATTATATTGTTTATGATTTGCAACTTATCTTTAGTAATAATACCGTTAGTAGCAAAATAAGTTAAATTTGGTAGCAGAAGAGCTTTTACAATTAAAATTTTTCCAAGCAATGTTAAATTTCTTTTTGACCATCTGTCTACAAGTTTTGTAATTTTATCCAAGATTTTTTCTATGTTCAATGTTTGACATTCCTTATTATTATACCCAAAATAAATACCAAGACTTTTGACTGGTTTATTTGTCCAATTGATATTTTCATATTTATCTTTACTGCTTTTTAATCTCCCTAACCATATCCCTTCTGTTTTATTCCTATTAAGTTTCAGCCCTGATAGACTTCCAAATGTCTCTATTATACTGAGAGCCAGGCTTATATCTTTACGAGACTGAAGAAACAATGTTGTGTCATCTGCTAATTGACAGATTTTTAAATTACAAGATTGTCCGTCTAATTTTATTGTTATTCCCTTAAGTTCTTTATTTTTTCTCAATCTTATTGCCATTAATTCAACTGTTATAACAAACAGTAAAGCAGAAATCGGACATCCTTGTCGTATTCCCCTATATATTTTAAATGGACTTGAGACCCACCCATTATTCAAAATACACCCTTTAATATCGTTATACATAGTTTCAACCCATCTGATAAATCCACTTTTAAATCCAAACTTTTTGAGAGTTTCCGTCATAAAAATCCCTTCTAAAGAATCAAAAGCCTTACTAAAATCTAATTAAAAGTACTGCTCCTTCTATATTAAATTTTTCTGAATAATCAATTATGTCTTGAATTTGTCTTATGTTAAAGCCAATATATCTATTTTTTACATATCCAGTTTGGTCTAGACTTATAATAGATGGTAAGACTTTTTTAAGTCTTTGTGCTAGCACGTAAGCCAGTAGTTTTGTATCTTTTATTGTGAATTGGTAAGTTCTTTTTTCTCATAATTATTATTGAATACTTTAACCATAATATTTTTTTAAATTATTCCAAAATTACCTATAAAATTCCACTATCAGACCATCCAGGCCAGGGGATTTATTTAACTTCATTTTCAAAATTGCCTCTGTACATTCTTTCTCAGTCACTTCCCCTTCACATTGATTACTTTCTGATTCATCTAGCTGCTTTGATATTTCTGTTTCTATTATATACTTCTTAACCTCATTATCACAGGGATTAGTTGATTCATAGAGTTTTTTATAGTATTTTACTTGCAAGTCTAAAATTTTATTTTGATTTTTGGTAGCCAAACCATTTTCATCATATAATTCAGTAACAACTTTTTTTGTTTGACGACTTTTCTAGCCCCAAAAAATATGCACTATTTTTTTCACCTTCTTCAAACCATTTTATCCTTGACCTTACTTTTTGCCCTTTATTCTTGTCTTTATACAAACTATCTAACTTATTTTCAACATTCTCTATTTCCTTTTGTAGTGTTTTATTTATATCAGTACTATCATTTATTTCATTAGTTCGGTTATTCAACTTTGTTTCCAGAACATAGTCATCTTTCTTTAATTTAGCTCTTCTTTTACAATAGTCTAAACTTGCGTCCCTTACTTCTATTTTCATATTATCCCAAACAATCCCCAAATCATCATAGTTGGTTAATTCTTTTTCATATTTAGATATTAGCTTTTTAATAACATAACCATATTCTTCATTGTTCATTATACTAGCATTTAACTTCCAATACCCCCGTCCTTTATTTCCTCTTTCAGTATTTAATTTGAGTGACACTGCATTGTGGTCAGTTATTTTTTGGACAATAGGTCTAATATCACAACTTTTGCAGTTTTTTTGTACCTCTTTAGAAACAAAAAATAATCAATTCTGGTAGCTTCTGTTCTATCTTTCCTACTCCAAGTAAATTGTCTAGTATTTTTATTTTTGTTTCTCCAAATATCGATTAGTTTACATGATTTTATAAGCCCTTTTAAACTTGTTACTGGTTTATCAAATTTTTTGGGAGATTTAGTTTTATTTTTTGTATTTAGCAGTGACCAAATGTCATAAAAATCACCTCCTAGAATGACTTGCTCCAGTCCGTATTTATCAATAAACACTTTTATTGTTTTAAAAAAACTATTTCTTTCTCTCAATTTGTTCGGAGCATAGATATTAACTAATGTGTAAATATTTTCATCAATTTCAATATTAATCATGATAACTCTTCCTTCTAAATCTTTATGTTCATCTATGTATTTGAATTTGGTTTTATCTTTTATCCATATTGCCACCCCGCGTGAATTGCTTGTCCCGTCACTTCTAAAAAGATTTTCACCAAATTGTTTTTCTAATGTGAACTTCATTTTATTTGTAAAATGGGTTTCCTGCATGAATAGAATATCACTTTTTTGTTGATTTGACCAGCTTACAATTTTACTTATTTTTTCAGGTTGTTGCAGGCCATTGGCATTGACCGTGCTTATATGTAGATTGTTTTTCATTTTGGATTATTTGAAAATTGTCGATTAACCATTTTATCTGGTAAGTACCATTTTCTAATCATAGTTTTGAAAATATTTTCCATATATAGTATGCAGCTGTATTTATATATTTGTATATCATTTTTATATCTTGCTTTTTGAGTGGGGTTTTTATTCATTTTTTGGCAGAAATATTTTACCATATTTCTAGCGTTTTTATTACACTGAAATGTATGTTTACTGAAAGGTTTTAAATAGCTTGTTCTTTTCATATACAGGTATATTTCCTGAGTGTTTACAAAGTACGCTTCATTGATTCTTGTGGATTTAAATTTTAACGATGTACCTTTAAACAATTTTCTAGCTTTTACTATCTTTGTAAACATAAGCGATTTTTTGTTATTGTTTATCCTGCTTCTGTTTCTTGTTTTGAGTGATTTCTTTTCACAGAAATAACAATGATTTACTTGCGGTATTGTGTCTTTAGAATCTGACATAAAGTTTATTTTATTTTTATTTTTAAAACTAAGCATTCTACGTTTGGATCTCAGTTTATAACACATTTTGTATTTAAAGTTTGTTTGTCCAGTTACGTATGTTCTATATTTTGACTTGCTGTTATTAATAACTTTTCCGTTTAGTCTGATGTTTGACACTGAATCGTATTTTGATGATTGTAATGATTGATGTGATGATTTACACTCGTTAAGAATTATTTTATGAGATTTAATAGACAACCATTTAAGACACTCGTCAGTGGATTTTTTTGTAAGATTCAAGAATTTCGAAAGTAAAATAGAAGTCCGTACGAGGTCGAATGACTTGTATTTACTTGTTCACGTGACATTGTATATAAACATAAGCACGTGTTGACACTTTTTTTACCCACAAAATAATGCATGTAAACTTGGGCACTTTTTGGCACAATATGTAGTTTTCGGTACTCTTTTCATCATATCTATTATAAGAAAATTTGATCACACTACATATCACCAGAGAATATATCATTGGTGGTAACAGATATAAAAATGTCCATATATAATAACATACATGTACACATAAAATTCTTACAACAATACCATGCAATATATAGTACACTGTTTTTGTCGAGCCTGCGACTTTTGTCGCAGAAAGCTCGACATAGGGAGAGCGATCCGGCGGCGGCGGCGGCGGCGTTAGCTAACTTCTTAAAAGCTTTATATTTTAGAAGATGGAAGACCTGGATGCTTCATACTTTGTATATGGATGCCTCATGTTACGAAGTTTCCGTCAGTCACATGTCCAATGTCCTTGACCTCATTTTCATGGTTCAGTGACTACTTGAAAAAAAAGTTCAGATTTTTTGTAATGTTAAATTCTCTCTTATTATAAGTAATAGGATAACTATATTTGGTATGTGCGTACCTTGCAAGGTCCTCATGCCCGTCAGACAGTTTTCACTTGACCTCGACCTCATTTCATGGATCAGTGAACAAGGTTAAGTTTTCGTGGTCAAGTCCATATCTCAGATACTATAAGCAAGAGGTCTAGTATATTCGGTGTATGGAAGGACTGTAAGGTGTACATGTCCAACTGGCAGGTGTCATCTGACCTTGACCTCATTTTCATGGTTCAGTGGTTATAGTTAAGTTTTTGTGTTTTGGTCTGTTTTTCTTATACTGTATGCAATAGGTCTACTATATTTGGTGTATGGAATGATTGTAAGGTGTACATGTCTAGCTGGCAGGTGTCATCTTACCTTGACCTCATTTTCATGGTTCAGTGGTCAAAGTTAAGTTTTTGAGTTTTGGTCTTTTTTTCTAATACTATATGCAATAGTTCAACTATATTTGGTGTATGGAAATATTTTATGATCTATTTGTCAGTTACGCAGGTTTTATTTGACCTTGACCTCATTTTCAAGGTTCATTGCTCAGTGTTAAGTGTTTGTGTTTTGGTCTGTTTTTCTTAAACTATAAGCAATAGGTCAACTATATTTGTTGTATGGAAGAATTGTTAGCTGTACATGCCTGCCTAGCATGGTTCATCTGACCTTGACCTCATTTTCATGGTTCATTGGTCAATGTTTAGTTTACTTGGTTAATGTTAAGTTTATGTGACAGTTGTAATAAAGCTTTATATTTAGGACTATCAACATAATATCAATGATTAGTAAAGAAGGCGAGACATTTCAGCGTGTGCACTCTTGTTCTCAAGTACACACAGTGAAAAAAAATATTTTTAAAGCTTTTAATTTTAAGTGAAATATCAAGAATATTTGCAGAAGCTAATCTAAGTGTTGAATGTGTGCTTGTTATATATTTTACAAGCAATTTTAACATTAGTAGCATTTGACAAGTCACAATTCGCTTTGAATAGAAAACATTTTTTTTGGCTCAAATTTATTAAATGCAATTTATTCACTACTTTGATACACGCTTGTTCTATGTCAGAATCTTCGTATTTTATTTTTACATTTTTCTTTTTCTTTTTCAGGTTTAACATTTCGAACAGAAATAACTTCAGTAGAGTTAAAGAGGCTGTTGAAACTAGACCTTCTATTCTCTTCGCAACTTGCTGCATTAGTATACAGCATACAACAAATTTACAGATCAAACATTTTAGATAGTAAATACTGGATGATATAAATAAAAACAGTGCTGTACAAACTATTTTGTGAGACATTTTAACATGGTAATGCATTTTTTTTTTAATGTTTATATATATGATTTTTATTAAAAGTATTTCTATCTAAAGTTTGTATTGTTTATCATCATAAGCAAACTAGCGTTTCTTCTTTGGCTTCTTTGCAGCTGTTTCTCTTGTTGCATCATGAAGATTTTCAGTTGGCGTCACAGGAGATTTTTCAAAGCTTGGATTTTTATTTCTTGACTGCTTAGGAGTATCATGAGTATTATTAGTGCTATCTTGATCTCTGCCTTTTGTTGTTAAATATCTTGTTATGCTCTCTTTATGACCTGTATTTTTGTTGCTCTTTGGCGTTTGACTTTGTTTTTTTTCTGGACAACGCACTTTCTTTAGTATCAAGGATTGACTGAGACTGTTCTGGGTCATTATCCGACTTCTTCCTTTCCTCGATACTCATTGAAGGCTTCGTTATATTTTGGGAATTGCCTACCTCAAGAGACTGGTTGTTTTCACCTATGTAATCATCATTGTTTTCATCATGGTCATCATCATCATCATGTTTTTCTTTGTTAGATGTGTTATCCATTTCATCACCATCTTCATTACCCTCACTATCAGAATTCATATTTTCTGTACATTCAAATTGTTTATGTCCGAATTGCCCACATTTTTTGCATTTCCAGCCATTTGGACATTCTCTTGCTGTATGTCCTTAATCAAGGCACTTGCTGCATTTTGTACTTGGCCTGGTTGGATGAGGCTGACCATAATGATTTATGTTGGCCCAGTATTTCCAAACCTGCATAGTTTTAGGTAGAGTTTGTTCAAAAGTTTTGCATATCAATATGCGGTCACCATTTTTACAATTTGTAATCTTGTTGTCTATTCGGAGCCTCTCCCTATAACAGCTAAGTACCTCACATTTACTGACAGAGGTTTCTAGTGTTCTTATTATTTGGTTGTCGTCTGCTGAGAGGGGAATGTTTTTTACTCGTACTCTGATCGTATATTCCTGTTCACGAAAGGTAATTTTTGGATTTCGAGTATACAGGGTAACAGAAATTCTTCTGATTGTAACTCCTTTGGACAACAGGTTTTTTTGTCCATTTCGTTATCAAAGTATATTCTCCAAATACCGCGGACTCTTTGTAGACCAGACAATGATTTTACTGGAACTTGCTCATTTATTGCATGGTAGACTTCCCAGTGAGTTAAAAAATAACGCTGACCATTGGAATTTATAAGATCGTTTCCGAATACATCTTCTTCAAGTAGAAAAATAGGTTTTACTCCGGTCATTGTGTCATCATATGATTGTGATTGTGTTTTGTCACCTTTAGCTGCTTCGGCATATGAGGCAGCCATGTTTTTTTCTTTGTTTGGATCGTCTTTGTCAGTACACATTGACGAAATTTATTTACTGGGTGTAGTCCCGAAAGATTGCAGAAAATCTTCTATAAAGTAGTGTAACTACCTACTGTCTTCAACACATACAAGTATGTTACCATAAATTCTTGGAAATCTTCAAATAGGTTTAATTATCTTCAGAGCTATGTAACACCCGTCACCTTAGTTCAGGGGTCGCAACTCTTTTTCTAAAAAAATCTAACTTAACAGTCAATATCATCGACTAATATATAAATCATATAAAAAAAATACAAATGGATTTAAAACCAAGTACAAACATACCAGTATGTAATAAAAACATGCAAACTGTTTTCATATTAATAGGGAACAAAATTATAAGTCAACAATTGTTAATTTTTTTGACCAATAAGATACATCTTCCTGTAAACACAAACACATTTTTTAAATCAATAAATCTCATGATTCATGTATCTAAACCTTTTTTTCTTTTTACTTTTTTTTCTTCAAAAACAGACAAAAAAGTTGTATTTTCACAAAACCTCAATTGTCTTTATGTTCCGTTACATCAAAACTAATTCAATAAAAATCAAAATAAAATATTACACAACCCCAGTACAACACTCTGACAGACTGGCACAAACCTATTATGAAAAAATAATCTAATAGGTGTCTGTGTCTTTTGAGTTACTTTTTATTAGCCACCTGCTTCATCACTTCAACCAGAGAGTTCATCGTCTCTATTCTTTCTTTATGTCTGCGTTCTGCAGCGTCTTTTCTCTTCTTCAAGACATCCCTAAAATAATCTGTTATAAAATCAACACCCCTTCTTGGTCTTTTTGCTGATTTTGCTTTATCTACAAAACAATATTAAAATTATTTACAAACACTCAAGGATGTACACCTCTGAGGACCCAAAAAATTATAGAATTGAACTTTTTTACTTAACCTGGCTTTTGGGTTTATATGACGGAAGTCACGGAAAGAATAGGTGCTGACCAAGTGTTGTTACTTTGAAGCTGATCCATCATCCAAGATGGCCGCCAGCGGGGGACTTAGTTTAACATAGGACCCTATGAGAAATACATACAAATGTTTTCTTCCAGAGAACCATTAAATGGAATGAAACCAAACATGGCATGCATGTTCCTTTTGAGGTGCTCACCAAGTGTTGTTACTCTGAAGCAGATCCTTCGTCCATGATGGCCGCCAGATGGGGACAATGTTTAACAAAGGACCCTATGGACAATACATACAAATGTCTTCTTTTAGAGAACCACGTACTGAATGGATTGAAACCAAACATGGCATGAATGTTCCTTATGAGGTGCTGACTAAGTTTTGTTACTTTGAAGCTGATCCTTCATCCATGATGGCAGCCAATGGGAGGACTTCCTTTAACATAAGACCATATGGGAAATACATACAAATGCTTCTTCTAGAGGTGCACTGAATGGAATGAAACCAAAACATGGCATAAATTACAGGACCAATATTAAACCAAATTTGGCCTCACTCATTATTAGGGTATCGGTTATGATTTTAATTTTACATGATTTCCAAAACCAAAGTAGAATCAGGTGAGCGACACAGGCTCTTGAGAGCCTCTAGTTTAATCTTTTAGCCAAGAGCTGGGGATTATTCCTTTTTGTTTAAACGCAACCTTTTTCACACATTTTAATCTAAATAAACAAATCAAGATTTAATTTTTACTATATATAGATCAAACTTTTAAGTATATTCCTATTCATTTATAACCCAAAAATTAACATTGCATTGACAGAGGCTAAGAGAGAATATGTTTATGGACATTTAAAGCATTATCCGTACTCTTTAATACTAAACCAGAAAACTTTTCCTCGTTGTATCTGCAACTCTGATCCCCGTTTGAGAATGGAAGGTGAAATATTAAGTAAATTGCTAATGGACGACAACTCACTTAGTGATAACCTGAAAGAAATGTACCTTCACATGCTACATATGACAGTTAATAAAGTGGATAAAAATCAATTTAGAAACTTTGAGACTTTGTAATGTTCAATATTTGGTAAGAAAAATTATCGAAAGTGTGGATAATGAATTTGGAATAGGGATACATGTATACGAGACTGGAATAAGGATACATGTATACGAGTGGCTAGAAGAATTATTGAAAGTGTGGATTATGAATATGGAATAGGGATACATGTATACGAGACTATTTTAGAAATGTTAATTCAGAGGTAAGTTTTATGAATTAAGTCTTGTAACTGGAGTATGTCTACGTTGGGATCGTCTTAAAGTGGGTCGTTGTTCCATTTGCTGTTGGGGTAATTGGTTAATTTCAGGATGTCGTTGAGGTAAACTTTCGTGGTTGTTCTATATTAAGTTGAGTTGTTGGTCCATTTGCTGTGGTGGTAATTGTGAATATCAGGATGCTGTTGAGTTAAATTATAGTAGATTTTTCAAATAATAAATAACACGTAATATGGTTTCCAGTCTTCTCCTTAAAGTTTTGATTTCCTCTAAAAAAAAAAACACTTCCAAAATAGCTTTAATTGTAAAAAAATATATATATCTACAAAGAAGAAAACAATTTATTTGAGTTAACACTTTCAGAACTATCATAAGCATTAAATATAAAATTATGTTATATTATGTTATATTCTTTTCTAATAAAACAACATTTTAAAATATTGAAGCAAATTTGTTTCTGATAATAAATAAAAATATTCAAAACGTTCAAAGGATTTAAATAAAAAACAAAAATCTTTGCAAATTTTTTCTGATATTCAATACTCACATCATTATGAACACAAATGTTTTATCACGTAAAATATATCATATTTACCTTTTTCAAGAAACAAAATAACAAAAGTGATAAAAAAGATTTAAGTGTAATGTTAAGCAATATTTAGAAAAAAATGGTTTGATTTTTGGCAATCCAATTAAAATATAGATCTCGGATTTCGTTATACTACGTTATACTACATACGAGGTTCTAACAACTACCCGTTAAATGTTTCACTTCTGACAGATTTCACACGTGACTTTTTAAACCAATCAGAATTCCCCTTAACCAATCTTTGCAGTGCATTCGATACATAGATTTAAATATGGCTCATTCATATGTCCAGAGAATATCGAAAGAAAAAACCGCGGGTAAATGACGACAGCTTGCCAGTCGCTTCAGAAACAATGTCAATTGGTAAGCCTTTTGTGACGTTTACATTTTCTGACGTCAGACACGCGAAGCAATGAATGTGGGTCTTAATTTGATAGATGCTTTTGTGCTTTTTTTGTAAATAATTGTTTGTTTTGATATTGTAACACAGTGATGACTGCTGTACCCATATTTTGACTATTTTATTTATAATGTCTGTTTTGTTCACGCATCGTTGTAAATATAACGAAATTTGATAAGACTGTCGTACAAGTGAGAGGTTTAGCGCTATAAAACCAGGTTCAATCCACCATTTTCTACATTTGAAAATGCCTGTACCAAGTCAGGAATATGACAGTTGTTGTCCATTTGTTTGATGTGTTTTGTAATTTGATTTTGCCATGTGATTAGGGACTTTCCGATTGAATTTTCCTCGGAGTTCAGTATTTTTGTGATTTTACTTTTTTTTTTGTGGACATTGTCATCGAACTAACATTACAAAATAACATTCAATTGAGATGTTTCTCTAAGTAGGTAGCTTAAACAGGAATGAATAATTTTAATTTGTTCCTTATAATCACCAGTTTTGATATGTACGACCATGTACGTCATAATTTCGAACACTTTTTCAAAGTTTATCTTGAAAATGGCACAATCAACGCCTGTTAAAGTATACAGTTTTGCCGAAAATATATTTGAACTATGTGGCTTTTCTTTTGTTCAAACAATAGTTGAGCCTGATGGCTTTAAAATCGTAAACAAAAAGTATACTCAAAAACTGAAATTGACAGATCAAAAAACAGGCAATGTGGTGAAAGTTTTGCCAGACTTTATTCCGTCTTCCTGTTCAAAAAATGGAATTTGCCTGAAATGAAACAGAACTATTGAAAAGGTTATAAAACTTGAAGAAGAATTATTACATATAAGACGTGACTTATCATTCAAACGTCAGAATGTCTTGAAAACACAA